ACTCACCCCCCCTTCACATCGCAATCTTCGGTAGGAGGGGAGGGGGGGTTGGAGGGCAGCAAGGACAAGGCTACGCGGTTGTTTGAAGGCTGCTGAAGATAGTCGGGTGGATCGCGGGGAAAAAACAGGAACTGCGTGGCGCGTCGCCAGAGCAGGAGGAACGATGAGGAAGGATACTTGGAATGACAGGGACTGAAACGAGCACATTCAACGAAAAGCAGGAGACGGAGAGAGAGAGAGAGAGAGAGAGAGAGAGAGAGAGAGAGAGAGAGAGAGAGAGAGAAAGAGTTGGATGGAGGAAGGAGAATGAACATCTGCATGGCGTGGGGCGGGGGAGAAGGGGGGAAGGGGGGCACGTATGCAACGCCAAGAAAGGAATTATGACATGGAGCGTGGTCATGATGAGGATGGGGATCAGGGGGAGGAGGGGGGGGGGGAGGAGGAGGAGGAGGAGGCGGAACAGGAGGAGGAGGAGGAGGAGGCGGAGGAGGAGGAGGAGGAGGAGGGCGAGGAGCACGGCCAGCACACGGCTTAAGAACTTCGGTGGTTCGGGGAGGGTACCTTTATGTTCTTCGTTTTTGTTCCATGTTCTTGTGCATCCTGGGGGAGGGTATCCTCGATGTTCTTCAGTTTGGCGCCATTATTCCTTCGTTCTGACAAAGCTGGGGTTCGGGGCTCACGATTCGGCTACGAGCGTCCGCGGCGGGGGCGGGACCCTCCATGTTCTTCGGTCCCGAAGTCACGGTGCGGCCTTCAGCAACCGCGTGCCCCTTCATGATGGTGGTGCGATTGCAATCACCCTCGCATGTTCTTAGGGGACTGTTTGGCGTTGGTGGGCTTCGGGCTGCGGGGCTTAGGGCGTGCGGATGCAGGCTTGATTGAGGCTGCGTACGCACGTAGGCCGCAGGGCTCGCGCGTCCGCGGCACGGGCAGGACCCTCCATGTTCTTCGGTTTCGATGTCAAGGTGCGGCCTCCAGCAACCGCGTGCCCCTTGATGATGGCGGCGTGAGTGCAATCACCCTCGCATGTTCTTGGGGGAGAACTTGGCGCTAGTGGGCTTCAGGTTTCGGAGAGCAGCGTGCGCGGCTGCAGGCATGGGGCTAGGGCGGGCGGGCGAAGCCACGCGCAGCTTCCTGGGCTGCTGCAGGGCTGAGAGGTTGGATGTGCGGATGACGTTCAGGACGTAGCGCTGATGTCGGTCCTATGCTAAGGCCCATGGGGTAGGCCGCAGGGCTCGCGCATCCGCGGCGCGGGCAGGACCCTCCATGCTTTTCGGTCTCGATGTCAAGGTGCGGCCATCCGCAACCGCGTCCCCCTGGATGATGGTGGCGCGAAAGGAATCGCCCTCGCATGTTCCTAGGAGAGAGTTTGGCGGTTGTTGGGCATCAGAGCGGGGTATGTGCGCGCGTGCGTGCGTGCGTGTGTGCGTGCGTCCTACCGAGGGCCACGCAAAACTTGACATGCGCGTCTGCGCTGCCGAAAGCGAGTTAAGAGGCCCGCGTTGTCAGCAATAGGAGAGTCGCCATGTTGGCTTGGAAAATCAAAGTGCACCTTCAGCGTCGCCAGTCAGATTTCCAAGTTAGCATGGGCTCTGGCGCATGTGTTCTGCAACGGCGCATGCAACCACTTCTCGCGCGCGCCTGCGCCGCCGCGCGCGCGGCGGCGCAGGGGCGTGGGGCGCTCAGTGTTATCAGCAGTAGAAGAAGCGCCATGTTGGCCTGGAGAATCAAAGTGGACCACTAGCGGCTGCCGATTAGATTTCCAAGTCAACATGGGTTCTGGTGTACGTGTCTTGCAACGGCGTATACAACAACCCCTCGCGCGCGCCCGCGCCGCCGCGCGCGCGGCGGCGCCGCCGCGCGCGCGGCGGCGCGTGCGCGTGGGGCGCCCCGCGTTATCAGCAATAGAAAAGTTGCCATGTTGGCCTGGGAAATCAAAGTGAACCCTTAGTGGTTGCCGATTGGATTTCGAAGTTAACATGGGTTTTGGTGCATGTGTTCTACAACAGCGCAGACAAACACTCCTCGCGCGCGCCTGCGCCGCCGCGCGCGCGGCGGCGTGTGCGCGTGCGGAGCTCAGCGTTATCGGCAATAGAAGAGTCGCCATGTTGGCCTGGAAAATCAAAGTGAACCCTTAGCGGTTGCCACTTGGATTTCCAAGTTAACATGGTTTCTGGTGCATGTCTTCTGCAACAGCGCGCGCAAAACTTCTCGCGCGTTCCTGCGCCGCCGCGCGCGCGGCGGCGCGCGCGCGCGAGAAACGCCGCAGCGCCAGCAATAGGACAGTTGCCGCGTTGACTGGGGAATTCAAAGGGAGCCCTTGGAAGTGGGCAGTTTGTTTTCCAAGTTAACATGGGTTTAAGTGCATGTGTTCTGCAGCGGCGCATGCAAACACTTCTCGCGCGCGCGGCGGCGCAGGGGCGTGGGGCGCTCAGTGTTATCAGCAGCAGAAGAAGCGCCATGCTGGCCTGGGGAATCGAAGTGGACCACTAGCGGTTGCCGATTGGATTTCCAAGTCAACATGGGTTCTGGTGTACGTGTCTTGCAACGGCGTATACAACAACCCCTCGCGCGCGCCCGCGCCGCCGCGCGCGCGGCGGCGCCGCCGCGCGCGCGGCGGCGCGTGCGCGTGGGGCGCCCCGCGTTATCAGCAATAGAAAAGTTGCCACGTTGGCCTGGGAAATCAAAGTGAACCCTTAGTGGTTGCCGATTGGATTTCGAAGCTAACATGGGTTATGGTGCATGTGTTCTACAACAGCGCAGACAAACACTCCTCGCGCGCGCCTGCGCCGCCGCGCGCGCGGCGGCGTGTGCGCGTGCGGAGCTTCACGTTATCGGCAATAGAAGAGTCGCCATGTTGGCCTGGAAAATCAAAGTGAACCCTTAGCGGTTGCCACTTGGATTTCCAAGTTAACATGGTTTCTGACGCATGTCTTCTGCAACAGCGCGCGCAAAACTTCTCGCGCGTTCCTGCGCCGCCGCGCGCGCGGCGGCGCGCGCGCGCGAGAAACGCCGCAGCGCCAGCAATAGGACAGTTGCCGCGTTGACTGGGGAATTCAAAGGGGGCCCTTGGAAGTGGGCAGTTTGATTTCCAAGTTAACATGGGTTTTGGTGCATGTGTTCTGCAGCGGCGCATGCAAACACTTCTCGCGCGCGCCTGCGCCGCCGCGCGCGCGGCGGCGCCCCCGCGCGCGCGGCGGCGCAGGGGCGTCGTGCGCTCAGTGTTATCAGCAGTAGAAGAAGCGCCATCTTGGCCTGGAGAATCGTAGTGGACCACTAGCGGTTGCCGATTGGATTTCCAAGTCAACATGGGTTCTGGTGTACGTGTCTTGCAACGGCGTATACAACGACCCCTCGCGCGCGCCCGCGCCGCCGCGCGCGCGGCGGCGCCGCCGCGCGCGCGGCGGCGCGTGCGCGTGGGGAGCCCCGCGTTATCAGCAATAGAAAAGTTGCCATGTTGGCCTGGGAAATCAAAGTGAACCCTTAGCGGTTGCCGATTGGATTTCGAAGTTAACATGGGTTTTGGTGCATGTGTTCTACAATGTTTGCCGTGAGCTTTCGCGGGGGCGCGCGAACGCGCGCGCAGGCAAGCGCGCGAGCGAGCGAGTGCGCGGGCGGGCGCGCTACATCGTGGCGACGCGGCGCGCGTGGCCCATGGTAGCGCCCATTCGGCGCCGCGTTGGATCGGAAACCTGGTTGGGGAAGGCGGCCATGCAAATGCTGGGCGCGTGAAATGGCCTGCGCGGCGCAGCGCGCGCACGCGTCGACGGGGGGCGGGCGATCGAGCGCGCGCTGGCTAGCAAGGGCGCGCGGGCATGCGAGCGCGCGGGCGCGCGCTGCATCGCGCGCCCGTTGGCCACGTTGATCATCGTTTGTTCCGATCAGCTAACGCAGTTTGACGCTGGTTTTCTCATTGGGCGTTCGGTTTGGCGCGGTTGCGGGCAGACGCGGCGCGCATGGAAACGCGCGCCCGATGCAGCGCGCGCGCGTCGCAGCCGTGCGCGGCCGAGCGCGCGCGGGGGCGCGCGGGCGGGCGAGCGAACGTTTGCTGGCCAGCGGGCGCATATTGCATCGTAGCGGTGTCACGCGCGTGGGCTATGCATGTATCAATGGGGCGCCATGCGAAATCGAAAACCCAATGGCGAAAACCCAATGTACAATTTCATTCTCTGGCCGAAGGAGGCTGTCATTTCAATGCGACATATGTGAAAACGCTTGCGCGACGCAGCTTGCGCGAGCATCGCCAACGCGCGCGACCAATCGCGCGCGCGCGGGCGAGCGCGCGGGCAGGCGCGCGCGCGCGCGCGCTTCGGTTGCATCGGCGCGTTGTCGTGCGCGCGGGCGCTGGCTGCGCGCGCTGCATCGCGCGTGCGTTTTCACGCATCCCGCGCTGAGGCGGCCGCCTGTTCCGACCAGCTAATGAAATTTTGCATAGGGTGTTTGCGATTTGGTTTTCGATGCGCGATTGTTCAGATTTCGGGCGCGGCTCTTGTGCGCGCGAAGCTGCGCGCGCGCATCGCCGCTGCATGCTGCCGCGCGGGGGCGAGCAACGCTAGCGCGCGAGGGCAGGCGAGCGATCGCGCGGGCGAGCAAAGAAAACCGAGCGCGCGGGCGGTCGAGCTGCGAGCACTGGCAAGCGAGTGCGTAACACCGTTGCGATGTCACGCGCGTGGGCGATGTCTGCGAACGTTCTGCGCGCTTGCATTCATCCCGCCCGCGCGCGTGATTTGTTGCGCGCGTTGGC